CTGAGTCTGCGGTGCTTTCATTCTTTTAGCTTCCGTGATTGGTTTGCCACGTCATCTAATGAATTTGTGAGAATAAGCAACGTGATCAAGAAAATAAAATGAATTTTCCTCTCTTCGACAAACGTTTCCTACAGTTATTTCATAAAAGCAATAGACCGCTTTTCAAGGAGTTCACCGGCGCAATAAATCCAATTGGGACGTTGGGAGAACACTCGAAAAGCTTGTAAATCACGAGCCATTTTACAAGTTTTTCTGTGTTCTCCCAACGTCCCGCGTGTGTTTATTGTGCCGGTAAAATCCAAGGAAAAGCGGTCTATTGTTTAAGAAACCTCTCTAAAAGCGCCTGTCTAGAGAATCGGCTAATTTCTGCATGCATAAAAAATTTTGTCTTTAGGTTTATCTGGATTGAGCAACCAATAGAAAGAAGATAAAGAAAGAGGCAATATCTTACAACTTAAAGGAGATCAGGCACAGCATTTAAGTTATTTTGGCCATGCACAAAATTATCTTTAAATTGAAGGAAACCTGACAATATTCGTTTACTAAGATATAAAAACGCTAAAAACATAATAATAAACCAAAAAGGAACAAGGATGGTTAAGGATGGAGAAGATTAACACGGATTACAAACGACGAAAAATTTGGGCTACTCCTTTCAAGATGCCCAAACCATGACGTAGCTTCTTTGAACTATATATGCTATTTGACTTGACTCACCTTAAACAATTCCATGGATAGATGTTTATCTTTAAGCGCTCTGCAAATCTGATCTTTAACCACTTGCATGACACGACTGAAGTCTCCTGAGGTGGCTCTCATTTCTTTCCACGTCTTGTTCAAAAGTTGAATACAAATGCAAAAGAATTCTTCAAATGCAAAGTCCATGGTGAAGAAAATCGGGTAGAAGTCTTTCCCGGAATCGGAAGCTAAAACAGAGCAAAAAGATCAACAAAGATAACCGGTCTGGACAATATCTCTTTCCTACAAAGGGGCAAGTGAGATGTGACTAAGCTTAATTGAAATCTAGCAATTGTTTCTAAGTTGCAAGTGAATATATAAAAGATCTTAAATTTGAACTGCAAAGAAAGATCTAAAGGTATGTATGATCACTGCAGTTAATTAACTAAAGTCTGCCGGGGCTGGGGGGTGGAGTAAATTTCAGGCTCTTACGGGATTTGAATCCATGACCTCTGTGATACCGCTGCACTGCTCTTACTGGCAATTGAGCTATCAAGCCAAGTGGGAGCCACCCTGCGAGCAGAGCCTCTTTTAACTCTGTTTGCTTTATCTCTTTTTTACAAAGCATATGTACCGTAAGAAAAGGCGCTACTTGCAGGGTGACTGGGAGCTGGCCATGTTGGAAAAGAACTCCAGTGTTCGGACTATACTGGCAGTTTTAAGAAATTTCGCACGTATCTAAACCATTATTAGCCTAACTAATTTTTGTCCACATTGCATTCCACTTTCCACCCACGCCAAAGTTAGTGATCTTCATTTCCTAGTGGTTCCTGTTTTCCTTTCTACAAATTAAACCACTCTTGTGAAGATTAATACGTTGGATCTATAATTGACAATCTCGAAGCAATTTTATTCCACTAGGTTGCCTTGTGACCAGAATTGAGTCTTCAACTTACGCGCTTCTCCACTGATTTCCAGTACTTCTCACAGCATTTTGGTAAGAGCAATACTGGTACGAGCAAACGGGCACTCATAGTCATCACCTCGACCAAGATTTTCGAGAATTACCTTGACAGAAAAGGTAACAGTCAGATTTCCCTTGAATATCACAAAATGTTTTTTATGAACTCACTTTAAACTTATCTAACTTTAATGAACAAACGTGGGGATATTTCTTGGTGTTACCCTCACCAGTGAATGGCGTAAAAAAATTCAGCAGATAATTAACAATACCACACTAAAACTCAGTCGCTGATACGGCAATGGTGTAATACCAAATATGACCCGACTTGTTTTTACGTTTCGTAACTTTTACCCTGAAAAATGTTTGTCCGCCGAGTTTTGTGTGTCCACATACTTTGACGTCTCCATAGCAACCATGTTTTGACAGGTTGTTCTGCCTTAATTTGTAATTTCTGTCTTTCATTCACGAGTTTTTTTGCGTAGTTTTTTTACGGTACATGTAGCTCACGGGCTTCAAAATGCAGCTTCATTCTAGACCACGAAATATTTACGATATAGTACAAAAGTAATCTTGTAGTGATTTTCCCATATACTGGGCTTTTCACGTCTTCAAGTCTAGTTGATAAACTAAGGGTGAATTTTGTCATAGAATATTAAAATACCCTGCGATACTGGTCCTCATGTTTCCGCGCAAAGTAAACCATCGTGTGCAAAGGAAGAAGGCCTGGTGGAACTTCACTGAAGTCATTTGCTGGCGAATCAACGTCCTGTAAAAGTTAACAGGAGTGCTAAACTGTAAATATTCACAAAATGAATGCTTCAGTGTAATGTTCATGTGATTCCTAATGTCACATTTTTGGTAAACTCACAAACGTCAAATAGGGAGTCTCTATTTCTTTGCCCTGATGAAGAGCTAATGCCATAAAAGTTAGTTCTATTAACCTCACAGAACACCGTTCTTCAAACAAAAATAGCACATGAAAATATATTTTCAAGTTGAAGGCGGTACACATCGATTATAAGAATGGCTTTATAACAAAGTAATAACATATCCCACATCAGAGCCTTTGAAACTTGTTAGGTCAATTCGAAAAGGTTTGGTTTGATACCGGCGTTAGAAGTCCTTTCTCCCNCCCCCCTTCCAAAGGCTTTAACAGGTCAGTAAGAGTTCATCCAAACCCTCTGTATAAGGCAAGGCCATAAAACCGGTCCGAATCTTAGGTATATCATTCCTTTCTGGAAGCAGAGGTGAATATGATTCACAGCTCCCGTGATTTTGTCGAGTTTTGCCTTTTCATCACCACAGATCCACCACTGTTATAACGGCCTTAAACTAAGTAGAAAAGCCAAATTTCTTTTCTTCTCAGCACGAAAACCTGACGACTTCTCAGTTTTATCAGCTTCTGCCTTCAACTTTGACGTCACAGGTCAGTAAGCCTTGTCCTATTAATAATTGTTACCGCAAATGTTCGCACTCTTCAACTGTGTCATGAGGTAAATTCCACATAATTATATAAAGCAAACAAGGGGCTCACCACAAAACCGAGTCTCTTTAAATCTCTGTACTGATCCCCGGCTTGTGAGAGAGGTCTTGAACTAGGCCCCACGTTATCTAATTCAAACGCCACACGCCGCAAAGTATCGAGACTTTCAAAAAGGTTCTACAAAGAAAAGAAATTTCAGTTAATTATGCTGAAACATTCCAACACATGTCACAGAGTCCCACAGATGTAGTTGCTTTACTAAAATCCGAAATGTTTCCAAAGGTAGGGAGGAGACGACATCTACTTCGTAGTGTTCACTGCGACGAATTGCCGCCGTGTTGTGGCAGAAATACCTGAAGTTGTCCTAAAGTTTAAGACCGGGATTGTCGATAGAAAGAGGCACTGTGCCGTTTTGTAGACTGAGGTAATACCCTGTTTTTCATTTTGAGAAGGTTTATTTGTAAGCATACAACACAATAGTGATACACTAACCTGATTTTGAGCATTGCCTTTTGTGAAGATAAAGTCTACAAGCAGACTGCGGAAAATGAGAGATTGATATACGTAGAGCTGGTGTTCCATTTCGTTTTTCATGACTTTCGAGTCACGGATTATATCCTGTTCACAAAGAATGATTTGATTAAAATAGCGCATACACTTTGAAAAGTGCGTTAATTAAATTCTACCCCAAAATTGTCGTTAACTCACTTGTACAGCTTTAAATGTGCTTGTATTTATTTGGTGTATCGTCAAACTAAAACCAAACGCCTAACCATCATACCCGATGTGTCAAATGACAATGAACACAGTGAACCAAGTAGAACCCCAAGGAAATGAGTTTTACCAAGGATGTTAGCCTCCTTTGCAGCCGTTACTTGAGTCGTCACGCAATGTTATGTGACAACTCAAGCCTTGTCCACACCACGCCGGAGAAATTTGAAAACGTAACGCAGCTTTATTTCTATGGTTAGGTCTACCGTCCACACTAACCCGTCACGAAAACGGAGCTTTTCGAAAACGCTCTTCAAACCGGAGGAATTTGAAAACGTCGGCGTTTCTTTTTTCGTGTGGACTGGAGCTTTTCGAAAACGATGATGTCACCATAGTCCTGTGATTCCCCTGCCCGGGTTTTCCTCAAACACAAATCCAAAACGACCGGTGATTGTTGCGTTTCCAGATTTCCCCAGCGTAGTGTGGACGGGGCCTCAATAACGGCTGCAAAGGTGATTACAAATATAGCCAAAACTTCCAGAACGTTTGGTTGGAAATGAAACCGCCATGGTTCGAAAACGTTCTGGGTATTCTTTGAGGTCTACGCTACGAGCATGATCGCTATAACCATACATGAATTCACAATTTTACATTATTTGGAAATGGTTGTCTTCCAGAATAAGTACAAACGAAATTTCCGTTCCATTAGCGTGTTTCTTCTACTTCCAGTCCTCCTTAGCAGCAACCGCGTCATATTCGTTGATAGCGTACGTGGTTAGTATAATTTCCTTTGGTTAGTCGTCTAATTTTGAAAAACCCTGTTCAATAATTCAATGTCACTCCAATTGGGTCATCCAGCAAAATTGGTAAGCATCCCTAAAGTTCCGATTGGTTTTGATATTGTATCTGGTTAAATGAGTGCAGTAGGTGACTAAGTGACCTGGCTGGAGTTTTCAATCATTCAACATAGTGAAGTACAAGCACTGACAACAGAAAAGAACAGTGCTTGTTCTGAAAACAACTTGCATGTGAAATTATTCCACGTTTACTTTGACACCAAAAGTACTGAAAACCGATCTACTACTAACAAAAGGAAAACTCCGCTCAAAGAAGCCAGAGATGACTTACATTCATAATGTACGTCCTTACTCCTTTTCTTGAAAGAGTATCTGCAAATTGCTAGAAAGCAATTCCAAGAAATAAAACAGTAAGAGAAAAATACACTAAAATTATTTTAAAAATGCTGGAGGTTGACTCAAAATAGCAATATTGGTAATCACTCTGCAGTTCCACTGAAAATTTCAACAAAACTATTTTTGACTTATTAAAGGGGTTTCATTAACGTTTTCAGCAGGAGGGACACTGATTTTCACACGCGGGCAACACGTTTTCATTTGAACTTCTTTATAAGAAAAAATCTTTCCACTAGATGGTCAAACCAGCTGGTCAAAATCATCCTCATAGCCAGCTAATCTGCCCGGTGCCCAGTCCTAAATGAGAGCCCTGGATTGCCCACAAATGTAGCTGTGCCTGCGCTAATGGACACTGGTGTACACTGCCTTTCAGATAGTCGTATATTCCTTTCTCTGCACATAGAGGAGGAAAGATTGTGTGATGAGCCCACCACATTTACTGGCACACTGTACGTAGTCATACTTCTGACTGGAGAGAGGGACTGTGGGAGTATATTTGTCTTGCTCAAGAACATATTACGACGGAATCCACCGGAAGTTCGAGTAACAAGTGGACAAAAACCTAGTACCAAGATTATTTACATCGTATTGCAAACTTCTGTACGACTGTTTTAAATATCTTCTAAAAAAACATTTCTAGCAACACCAAACGTCGAAAACGAATGCTGAACTTCATATGAAAGACTTTAAAGTATTGGTGAAATGAAACTGATGATGAAATTTTGCCTGTGTTTGTACAAGTTCTCTGAACTTTGAAATTTATTTTCTCTCGTCGGACCATGGAAAATTGTTTTCGATGTTATTTCAGGCAATTATTTATGTATTTAGCTTTAGAAAATGTAAAAATGACTGTAAAATACTTAAAATTATTCTGATACCAGATTTTTGTCCACTAAAACCTGAAATTGTTCGAATTTCTATCGGATTTCATCTTAAGTTAACACAAAGACCTCGACTAAGGTTGAAACTGGAACTGTTTGATTCAGAGTCCAGCATAAGCCGTTAACACACTGTGGCTTGACTATACCTTAAGTAACAAATTTTCATGATAACTGCCGAAATTCTCGCGTGCTCATTGACTACTTTTTATTGTCAATAAGCGGACAAACACATGAATTTATAATTTATGCGATGCGTCAACAAGTAAGAGCGGGCAATTTGACAATTTTGTTATCGCAAAAAACAAATTGATGTCAGTTTCTAATGCATCTGTCCTGTTATTGACAATGAATTTCGTCATAACATTGTCAAAGTAGTCTACGGATCCACTCGGCTATCGCCTCGTCGATCCACAGCTACTTTGACAATGTTATGACGAAATTCATGATCAATAACAGGACAGACGCATGAAAAACTGACGTCAATTTAACAAACAGTTACTAAATCACATTTGTAATAAATTATATGACACGAAAATGTTTTGTATGGCATGAACTCACTCTTTTATTTGTTGTTCGCATGAAAAGGCTGTTGATAAGGGCAATGGCATACAGTTGAATGTCTTGATTAGCGCTAACAAATAAAAGCAAGAATAACAGGTTACTATATATAACTATCAATAGACTAAAATTAATGACAACAGTTAGAAATACTCGTTTATAACAATTTCAGTTTAGCCTCTGAAAATAGGGAGATTGACACCATATACTACAGTGTAGACATTGTCAGTTTGCCAGCCTTTTTCAACTGCATCACTGATCAAATGATCGATGTTATTCCATAACATAAGTGGCAAAAAGTCCCATTCAACAAAGTTAACAGCAGGTTTACTAATGACTGTACTGTATGGTACTTACTTTTTAAGATGAAGGACAAGATTCTCAAAAATTACTCCTTTTTCTACAATTGGATAAAACGTTGAGCTGATGGACAAAAAAAANTGTGTTGTGTTCTTGGGCAAGGCACTTTATTCCCACAGTGCCTCTCCACCAAGGTGTATAAATGGGTACTGGCGAATTTAATGCTGGAGGGTAACTCTGTGATGGACTAGCATCCCATCCAGGGGGGAGTAGAAATACTCCTAGTCGCTTAATGCTATGGAAACCAGGATAAGCTCATTCCTGATGAGCCACTTGGCTCATATGCAGACTATATCTTACCTACCAGTGTACTTAAACCATTAGGCCACCATACATGTCTTCCTGTTACTTAAAATAACTCACAACTAAAACTCTGTGAAAATTGTAAGGTTAGGATTTAAGAAGTAATAGGTAATAATTACATTTTTAATAAAACCATGTGTGAGGATATCCCATGATACTTCACCATGATCCATAAGTTCATGAAAAGAATTGAGGCAGTGGGCTAGAGATTCGTTACTCCTGCAGAGAACAAGAAAAATAAACTTGTGCAAATACTTTATTTTTCATCATTGTGGGAATTGGGGGAGCTACACATGTACAGGTTGATGATTGAAGTCCTCATCAAGAAAAACTCAACAAGAAGATTCAACTTCAGTTGTTCAAAAACAGCCAATGATTTGTTCGTGTCAAGAGTAGAGTATCTTCAGGAACAGAAGGGTGGATGACAACTCACTCTGGTTTGTTCTCTACCATGTTAATAAGAAGCCCCAGACCATTCCTTTTGATAAACTCACTGGCAAAAGTTTGATCCTGTAAAAAAGAAGAAAAAAAGAAAACAATTGATTAGAATTTATGAGAGCATGTTGAGGATGAGGATGCTGTAGCAGTGAGAGCACATGCCTCCCATCAGTGTGCCCCAAATTCATTTTAGCATTCTGTCATACATTTATCTGGGTGGAGTTTGTTACTAGTTTTTGCCTTGCTCTGATCATGGTTTTTCTCTGGGTACAGGGCTTGAGAAAGTGCTGTCTGGTCATCCACGGGTAGATTTTCCTGCCGGGCAACTAAGTTGTCATTATCAATTGCCCAGTGGGCAAGGTCCCAGACAAGTCATCAGCCAACTAAGTAAAGACAAAAGTAAACTAAGACTTGCCCAGGGCAAGCAAAATTTGAGAGCTGCTTGTTCAAAGGGCAAGATGGATTTCAAGATTTTTTTCGAGGCCTGCCCAGGGTATTCCAGTTTTCCTTCCTCCAGGAAAAAAACAAAAAAAACATTTTAAAATTCCAATTTGACCTGCATGAAAACCAGCCAGGGTTGAAGTGTATTTCCTCTTAATAATATGTTAATTCAGGTACCAACAGAAAAACCTTCAATTTGAAAATAGATCCAATTTTACTGCACTCATGAATATTTACATGTTCTTTCTATTTTAATTCCTGGATGCCAACACTGTCAATAGCAGTGTAACCAATGCTTGGTGCTTTGATATTCTGATGACAGATAGACCCCTAACCTCTGATATAGTGGATAAAGCTGACAAGGAATTCCTTTTTTCATCAGGATTGGAAGATTGTAGACGCTCAAATATTTCCTGTGCGAGTTTGGCCTGAAAGATAACAAGAAAAACATAAACTAAGTCAAATTGTTACATGTACATGTACAGACTTCCAATGAAACTGAGTTAGTAATAACTGAGAAAGTTAGTAATTAAAATGAATTATGCATTAAAACACACTGTGTTGATGGTGAGTGAAGTGTTCCTGATGGCAAATTAAAGAGAATGTGCCTTTGAGCCATGCAATCACAGCACACCATTTCAGCAACCATCCTTAATTTATTTGCCAAGTTGGAGGTATTGTGTGCATAAGTATTCATGACAAGCTACATGTATCAAACAGTTCCTATTAATGTTAACGAAATTTCTGGCAATGTTATGTTCTACACTTTATTCTGTCATGCCAACTCTGTTTTAGTTGAAAAACTCTACCCAGTAAAATTGAAAAAAATAATTAAAAACAAATCTGTCATAATTTACTGAACTACAGTATACAACAGATCATCATGTTTAAATATGGAATACAAAGTTAATTTTACTTACTGGTGAGAGTGTAAGCTTCAGTACCGCCCCATTCTTTATTGCACTTCGGTTCTACATGGTGGAAACAATGTGCAAACTTTGATTTATCCATTTACATATACTTTAGGAAAGGTAATTATATATAGATGGAACCTTTAAAACCGGGCTTGTACAAGTAATCCCCTCTTCTGTTTAACACAATTTGCCATCCTTTATTTATAAGTTAGATGTACCAAGTGAGAATGTACTAATCAAAATTAAACACAATTTATAATTTAAAGTCAGCGTAAGTTCTCATTATTGTTAACAGGCAGCTGTCTGGCAACGCAGTTCAGCAAATGCACCTGCAGGTGTCACGTTCCCAACTCCAGTCCTTGCTGGAAGTATCAACTGGAAGATGCCATGATCAACCTGAGCACAGTTATGTGACTTCAGATCTTAAAACTGACTTAATATTTCATTTTTTTTTACTATTAATCAATTAATTATAACAGGATTTCATTTATACCTTACAGTGTATACATACTTATTAACCCTGTCATTAATAATAAACCCATTTGTCCAGCTCAAATTACCTGTTACATGTACATGTATATCAGGGATGCAGTGGATATTGCATGATTACTAGTACACAATGATGTGATTGACATGATTTAAGCATCACTTACTTCTTCAGTTATGTAGCAGTTGTAGTCAGAGTACTGGAAAGCATACTGCTCTGGAATTGGTAAAGACCAACTAAAACAAAAAGATGGAGCATTCATTGCTACAGAGATATATACTTGTCAAGTTTATGATTTTGATGTAACAAGATAAAATTGGTAACCAGATATGATATGGAAAACCTACCAGTAATTACTTGTAATAGCAATGCCTAAAACTATGTCTGTCAATTCATTTACTATTTTTTTCGTGATATATGCACTAGTCATTTGAAACCCCCTTCCCCCAATGGGGGATACCCATGGCAAACCGGGGGTTTTCACCTCGTTTTCACTTGATTTAGGTTTCCCGGTAGTCAAGGAATGCACATTTTTTCAAGCTTTGCTATACAATGCAGGGGCTGATCAAGGGTTTGGCAGGAATTTCACTCTTGGCTTGTGACCTCTTTTAGAAGACTGGGTTCAAGTTGCATGTTTACAGAAAACATGGAGGCTGAACAGCTAGTGAAAAAGGTATGATTTCAATCACTTAATAACATGGTTTATCATGCTAGACTTCAGTGATATGAAAATATTCCAGTGAAAGCTCCCTGAAGTTGTTAAAAAATATCATAATCTATTTATTTTAATGAATTGTGCTTGATGTTTAGAGGGTGGGGGAGTTCACACTGAATTTTTTCCCCATAAGACGGGGCTTTCACTGCATTTCAGTGACAGTAAAAGTGAATGCTCTGAGTATCTCCCAATGGAGGAAGGGGTAGGGTTTTCAAATGGCTGGTGCATTACTGGATCAAATGTACAAATTTTTTTTAGCGACCTACAGTGAAACCTCTATTAAGCAGACACCCTAAGGACCTTCCCAAGTGTCTCCTTAATAGCGGGTGTCCGCTTAATAAAGGTTATAACAATTGCACAATGACTTTGTTTGTTAACAATTAACAGTCAACGGTTGCTCTGTACTGTAATCTATCCAGAGTTCAAGTTCATCAGCTTTCATTACCAACTTTAACTTGTGTGTAATAATGCCCTTTCCATACAGCAACAATAATGAGGGTACATTTAATCAACTATTTCAAGGATGTAATCCAATGACACATTGTCAATTCAGTGCGGAGTCCGCTCAATAGAGGTTTTTACAATAGAAATTAGCCAAATACAATTTATTTTGGTGTACGTGTCCGCTTAAGAGAGGTGTCTGCTGAATAGGGGTCCGTTTTAAAGAGAAATATAACACGTTAATATCGGGACCAGGCTAAGTGTCCACTTAATAGAGGGTGTCCGCTTAATTGGGGGTCCGCTTAATAGAGGTTTCACTGTAATTGTATATTCTACTTGCCATACATACAAAATTCATGTTTCACTGATTTCTTATCAAGTCCATGGAAATATCGATTGACTTAAGAAATACATTATAACAAACTTGAATTCCTTTCCAATTACTGAAAAGATGTAATTTTGAAAATGCTCAGTATGATCCAGAAAAAAACTGTACCAAGACACCTAAATGACTTCTGCAGGTTTTCTTTACAAGCTGATATTAGGTGAAACCAAACCAAAAAAGCTATTTTAATTGATGGATGCAGTCTTGGATGCAATGTAGTGGCAGAATTCAGAAGCATGAGAATTATAGGAACTGCGAATAGTCGCCTTCACCAACATTATATGTAATTTCACACAACACTTCTCCCCAATAACAACTCCTTAAACCTGAACTCATTCTTTTCCTTTTGCTTAAATGACCACAGCCACTTTGACACCTCTTGGTAGAAAATGGGTATAAGTCACTGTTTGTCTAAGCTTTGCTAGATCACTTCAATCAACTTGAATACCTGCTGCACCTGTCTCAGTTGCCTCTTGATGTCTAGTGTTCAGCAAATTGAACAGGTTAAAGGCAGCAACATAATTTAGATCTGTATGACATCTCTGATGCCGAGGTCATGATAAGACATGTCTTTTGATTGGTGTACATGTAGTTGGTGAATTTGGGCAAGATTAAATGTGAGCAAGACCGTCACTGGCTATGACCATGCATAGGAATGTGGTTAGGGTTTAAGCAGTTGTCGGTGGGATGGGAAATTGACAGCATAATGGCCCATTAAGTTAGGGGTAGAAATGTGGACAGACCTATCTGGTGTGGTGTTGGAAGCATGACTGTGTTATATGCATAAAACACCAGTCATATACAAATNAGAACTTGGCCAATATCCAGCCATCTTGACCTCACACTTGGTCAATAACCCATATGTGCTTTCTCTTGATACCCAGTTTCGCCATGATTTCTAGGCAGCTTGTTTTAAATCCCCGAGCCCACTTCCCTGCACCATATGGTGTAACATTCCTTATCCCAATAATAAATTCCCACCTGCTAGGGCACATTAACAAATGAAATGCCTGGGGCATACAGTACCTGTAGGGGGAGGGGATGATCGTGTTGATGTTTCTATTTTGATAGACACATTTTAATAGTTAATTGTTTGTACCAAACACAAAGTGAAGTTGTAATATCACTGGAATAATCAAACGATCTCAAGTACATGTAAGCTTTCCAGTGGCTTATTTTTCTACAACTACATGTGCAATGGACTGAATGTGTTAACAGGAAACATGCATAAGGATATATAAGCTTACTTACTTTGAGCATACTTCTCTGACAATTTCATCTAATGGTCGATTCTATTTAAGGAAACAAGAAGTTTATTAACAGCTTAGCCTTGAATAAATGACAATTGCTATCGTTCAAGCAATGGATCAATGATATCTTAGATAAGCTAATTATCATCTAAACTAGCATGAGCCTCATAACATGAAGGTAAGTTTCCTGTTCGAGAGCTTTGTATACCTGGTCAAATGTTGTGAGTAATGGCAGTTGACCCTCCTTCTCGATGGCAAGCTTTATCACTTGACCGCTACGAACGATCGACATTGTCTTTTAACTCCAAAAATGCTTCTTGAAGCCTTGTTCCTTCTCTTTCCGTGTATTGATCAAGGTTGTTCAAGTCAAAACCCACTCCAGACACTACCCTTCAAAAACAACATGAAACCTCTTGGAAGCATTCGTTCGAAGCCAGAGCAAAGATTCTGGCGTTTTACCGTCCAGTAGTGACGTTTATCAAACAGAACATGTCTGCAGGTATTATAAGAGCAGGACAGCTAGAGGCACAGTGTTAAAACGACAAGGAAATATCAATAATTCGGTGGAACAAACTGCTGTGTTACTTCCGACTGAGAAATCACCCACACTCCTATGCATGAGCAAAAATGTACCGTCCCTCCCCTCGCTAGAAATGTTTCTGGAACATTCACTATTGTACCACTGTTTTAACTGTAGCTTTTTCTAAGCACAGTTACAAGGTGCAATGGATGTGCTTTGCAATAGCTTAGTCGCAAGAAGAGTGCATTGGAGATTATTATGTAAACACTGCACGTATTTCAGCGTTATTTCCTGCTATGTGGAGGGATGGGAGGGGAAGGTAATGGTAACCTTCCCATCAGCCTCTAGTGTTAAATTTTAAACATGGCGGCAGAATTGCATTGCGGGGAAACTCCTCACAAGTTTGAAGTAGAAAGCAAATTTCGTGTGCCACCAGGCTTTGAGAAACTTGCTAAGGCAAAAGGAGCAAAACTTTTGCAACAAACTACATTCACTGATGTGTACTTTGATGCTGTAAATCACGAGCTTACATTGACAGGCCGTTGGTTGAGGAAACGTGATAGCAACTGGGAACTTAAAATTCAGAAACTGAAAAATGACCTCCGGATCGAAAGCAACTGTGAAATTGAAGACGAGGGAGAGATTGTCAAGGAACTTCTTAAAACACTGACAGCTCGTTATTCAAATGTTCTTAGGGATTGCACATCTGTTGAGGACATTATACAAAGCACTTGTTGCAAACAGATTGCATATTTTACAACGCGTAGGACTGTGTTTGAGATGCCAAACGGAGTTTTGATCGACTTAGATCGAGCAAGTTTTGGCTATCAAGTCGGAGAGCTGGAGGTCGTTGTTGTAAATGAAAAGGACATTGAGTTGGCCAAAGAAACTATTCAGAAAACTGCAAGACTTCTTGGTATGCATTAATCGGTAATGAATTCCAGGGATAGTTTTGTCAACTCTTTAACCACAATCTCAAGAGTGCTATGAACACCATTAGCGATCATAAACTTCTTTTCTCGATGTTATCCGTCAAAACATTTTTTTTTTCAATACAGTTACATGTAGCCATTTAGGAGATAATAGACCATTTTACAGTTGTCTGCTCAGTGACCTGGCATTTGAATGGCAGCAAGACTGGAGGTGAACTTGTTTTGATACAGATTGCACTGCTTTTGTTGTGTAAATCAAGTTCTAATGCTATCTATAGTTTGTATTTAAAATGAGAAAAGCAGAGAGCTTTGTATCAAAGCAAGGTCACCTTAAGCCTCACTTGCATTCATAGGCCAGGAAACTGAGCACACAACTGTAAAATGGCATATTCAATTACTTATACATTATTTTAAGTTGGGCTGTTGTAGACTGAAATAGGGTTATTATTAGATTTTCTATTTTTCATTTTGGCCAGAAACTGCAAGTTTTTGCTTTAAAGGGCAATTTGAGACTTTAATCATAACATTTCTGGGGGGCAATGGAATTACAAAAGAAAAAAAATTACAGTGTAACACCTATAGAATCCCCTTAAAGCTGATTTCCAGTCCTTACTGTGCAGTCTTCAGCAACCCAATGTTTGTGAGTCTCACTTGATGGAATGCAAATTAATGTTATTCATTACAAACCACTTATCTTATCTTTGAGGCATTTTAAATTCTTTTTCCAGCAGTTTCTTTGATTTTTACAGCTATGAATTTGTTTCATCAAGTGATGCCAGAAATAATGAAGC